TGAGCAATGTCATTTGTTAAGAACAAAGATAGCGTGACGTCAGGCACGTTTAGACTATAAAAGGAGAACTTCGGATACTCTTAGTAGAGCTGAGAATTAGGAGAGTCCAGAGTCAGCAGAGTCAAGAGTCCAGAGTGGTATTGAAGCTCGCTCTACCTGGGGTGTTGGCTCTCCATCCTATTGACGCACGGTAAGAGCTGGATACTATTCTAAGAGCTTGATATTTGATATTTGCTTGTTTGACATATTCTGTGGCGCTAATAAACGTGCAATTTGTTAGTAGCAGATTTGTCTCTTGTGTTTCATTTCTGAGTGCCTATCTCCAACGAACCTATTCTAAATTTGATACTGAGCCAGGGCGAGGTATCAGAAATGTTTTAAAACAGCACTACTGAGCCATTTAAAAAAATGCATACTCAACTTAAACAAATTAGTGATTTTTGTCAGAATTGATGTATGTATGAAGTTTCTTGAATTTTCTTGCATGTTAAGACCCTCAAAATGAACCTTTTCCTGGCGAACAGTATGTTGCCACGGCTAGTGTTTCACGAAAACTCACAAACTTCGTGTTTTAACACTCTCTTGATCAAATATGAGGTAGAGCTGGTTAAATGGCTGGGAGAAAACCATCAACGAATAAAATATGTATTTAGACAGTAAGCAGTGCTACCACTACAATGAAAAATACGTTTGGAGATGTCTTCAGACTTGACTATCATCGAATGTGTGAAATTTGGAGAATATAGGATCATCCGGGTCAAGTTACACCAGCTTGAACTGGTCAGGCATTTTAGCAACGCTAAAGCTTTGTTAGACCCTGTGGGCAGGCAGCCATAAGCCCCCCTCAGCTAAGAGGCTGACACCACTGCAGCTGTCAGGGCTCAATTAGCATTTGGCCGCTAACCTTGGCTGTATCATTGTGGAGGTGATAATGGCTTTTCCTTGTCGGAGCTCACATTTAATGTCAATAAAATCCAAAATATTGTGCAGATCAGTTTTATATTTTTACAGGTTGAGATGGGCATGAATAGAGCTGTGCATGTGAATTTTAGTGACTATTGGTCAGCATTTTCAGACACTAGATGACAAGAGAACATGACAAAACAATCCAGGAATCAATACCATGCTTGCCTCCTTCCCTCTATGATGTTGACCGGCTGACGCGACAAAAAGCAGGCCACGGCCATAAAAAGATGGACATTAACATGTGCTGAATGTAGTAATAAAAAATACATTACATCCGTTTTTCTGGGGGATGAATTTTAGTGACCTAATATATAAGCGCTAATCTTCAACCCAATCAAGTGCTCCTTTAAGGGTACTGGTTAAGATTAAACATGAGCAAACAACCCGGTTAATGTGAACAAGTTACACTTCTTTTTTTATATTTAGGAGAGGAAAAGAACAACTTTGGTTAGGTTTTGGTTGCATTTATATGTAAGAGAAAAAAAATGTGGCACATTGTGCCTAAGCCAGTTTTATTTTTTTAGCAATTAATGATATATTTTGCTTACTTGTTCACACATCTGGTTGAGTGTTATGTTACAATATCAATAAAAAATACCAAAGTGTTTTCCAACATCGCGTTGTGTCTTGTTTTCCAAAAAGAAATAGGACTTTGGCAATTATGCAACGTGACCGACATGAAAAAATTGATATGTTGAAGTGGCAAAGCCACAGATTTGTTTGCATTATTGTCATAATCTGCACTTTAATTTGTTTGATTTCTGACTGATTTACAGCATAGTATATCCATAATATGTTTCGGCTCACTTGTGTGTCCGAATCAAGTGGTCGTGGTGAATGCTCATAAGACTACCTGTCAAAGTATTTAGTAAATTTAAACCTGAAATTGTGGTTACGAAATAAATTGTCTTTCATATTAAATAATGCTTCAATTGCCCTTTTAATATTCTATAAACTATAATAGATCTGATATTGTTCAGTGTAATAAATATCGGTTGCTTGTTTGTTAAAAAAATAAATACATTGAAAAGGACCTTGGAAAAAATTGCAATTGCACAGGAAAACATAATCGCAATTTTTTGCAGGGGGGAATCACAATTAGATTCTTTTGCCTCGTTCAGCCTTAATTCTACATTTATATTTTTCTCTATTTATACCATTAGAAAATTAGACATATGAGAATAAAACAACAACACCACAAAACAAACAAACCTAATTGAGAGGAACAAAAACTTTTGATTGCAGCAACTGCCTCAAAATGTTTAACTATTAAGTTGAAAGCACCGTTTTTTTGTCCAGGCCAGTTTCTTTCTTTTTTTTTCTTGAAACAATCCATTACTGATTAATTTTCAGTCAATAATTGGTCAGTTTTAAATTACCAATGTGTTTTTTTGGTGGCCCCTCATATACGAGTATGTGGGCTTGAGAAAGTACTCCAGTGGGTTGCCTGTGTCATTTCAACAGATTTGCTCGAACACCACGCTGTTCGTATGCTTGTCACACTTTTTTTGGGGGGGGGGGGGGAGAAATTCCCGGTCCCATGGCAATCATGTGGGGAAAAAAAAAGAAAAAAGCTTCATGAAATAACTAATTCTGTGGTTCTCAATATTTGTACACCAAGTACCACACAACCCCCTCCTCAAAAACTTACCAAGGCTGAATGAAAAAGCAGGAAGAAAAGATTTATGTTGTAAAGTGACAAACAAGCATTTCAAAATATTAGAAAGAGGAGGAAAAGCGCATACAAGAGCACAGGGTGTGATAGAAAAAGCCAGGTTGAAAAGGGACCAGAGAAAAAGAGCCAGAAAAGCAGGAGCCAGAAAAAGAGGAAGAGGAGGCACCTGTGCGCTGCGCCAGCGCTCTTCCCACTGTTGCTTCTCCAGCTGTGTGTGCCCCACAGTCAGCTTGAGACTGGAGAGCTGAGTCATGAGCGACTGGTAACACACATGGAGAGAGTAAGAGATAGAGAGCTAGAGGGGAGAGAAAGAGACACACAGGAGGAGGGTAATGATGGGGGAGATTTCAAGATGGAGAGAATAGTGGAGCAGATAAAGGGACAGCGGGCCGCATGGAAGGGTTTTAGAGAGAAGACAGTGAATAGGAAAGAAGAGAGGAGGGGAGAGAAGGAAGCAATGTGAATACAGAGGATGCAATGGCACTCCAAAAATGTGTAAGGTGGGAGAAGGCGGTTAAGGTGCACATGCGGTTAACTTTTGTTGCCCTGACGTTAGTGCTGTAGCGATTTGGGCTATTGAGGTATTTTTAACGTTCCTATTATACACTGAAAAACAAAAATGACAAGAAGGAGATGAAATGCTTCAGATTTGTGAAAAAAAGAACTATTTACACTGTTGACCCCGTTTCAGAAAATTCATTCGAACAGCTCATTACACCAGATGATGATCGTAGATGCAATTCGAATCAAAACTGAAGCAGTAAAGCTACTGAGAGGCATCTTAATCACTCCTGTAACGACTGACCACAATGCTCTTTTCCGTTACGTTCTCCCTTTTGGGAAAGGTTAATATTCAGTTACGACTATAGTTTCATCTCTGTGTTGTGCCACGTCATCATTTTTAGTCTGCTTTTTGGAGCTTTGTTGAGAAAATTGCACCTCTCCTGAGGGATATCCATTGTTGTATTTTATAAATAAGGAAACTGAAATGAAAAAAAAGTCTTCACAATAATATGTTCCATGCACCCCCACCAGTATAAACATGGCATTCTCATTAATATTGTGTTTGCAGAACATGAATTATGCAGAAAAATCCACCCATTTTTATCCATCTCAGGAGGCGGCCATTTTGTCATGTACTGCCAGTTGCTGTTGACTGAAAAAGACAGTGCCCTGGGGCTTGTCTCGCAAACGTCATGTGACAATATCCAACCAACAGGAGAGCCGTGATTGGCCGTAAATTACCCGAGACCTTAGGCAAGAAGCCACTTTTCAGTAGACTTTACACCGGGGGTCTTCAATCCTGTTCCTCAAGGGCCGGTTTCCTGGATCTCTTTCTGCTGCAACACACCTGATTCAAATGATCAGGTTCGTTATCCAACTTTGACCTTGCTGATAACCTGATCATTTGAAATATGCAGCAGAGAGAAATGGAAAACATCCAAGGAATCGTCCCACGTGGAACAGGATTGAAGACACCTGCTTTACACTAGCCTGATTGAGTGGATCGAAATTGGTCGCTATTTAAATTTTATGCATGCTAGGTAAAAAGCAGGGAAACATCATTGCCTTCTGTGCGTGGCGGTGCCTGTGCGCTTACAACACAGTCAAGTATGTTGCGTTCAGGAAGCTTGGAGCTGCGAGTAGCAGCCCATACTGTATTTTTTACCTTTCGTGTCTTGAAATTTATTTCGTAACAAGAGGCAATATTTTCCTGTTGAGATGTTTCGTAACTTGAAAATTTCATATGAAGAGATGTTCGTCAGTAGAGGTAACACTGTATGAGCCAAAAAGGAGCAGGCGTAGTCTACTTGGCGTAGCTGGTAAGGATGTATATGGACTTGTTTATGGCTGCTGAATCAAGACAGCAACTGTTTCAGCAAAAGCCAGGTGATGCTCGTGCACATATTTTTCATTCATATCAGAGAACGGGATGTTGTAAACAAGTCAACATTACATAGTTATATTTGATGTTTGTCAGTGATTTTTTTTTTTTTTTTTTTAAAGAATTTGGGGGGGGGTTTCATTCTTTTTTCAAATGCATTTTTGCTATGGCGGGAGCCAGCTGTAAAGTAAATATACACGTTGTTTGAATAGATATATTGCTCCATCTTCTCATCAAATCGGCTATCGAGTTTATTTTCTTTCAAACACGCCAATCGACCCCAAAAATTATATTCAAAAGTGAAGCCTAATTTTCAGTTGCCAGCAAGTGGCAGTACAGGACAAAACGGTCACCCCCTGATATGGATAAAAACGGTGGATTTTTCTGCTTCATTCATATTCCACAAACATTCATCAGAATACCATTGACATGACTTCCCCTTTAATAACATTATTTGTATAGTTTCAAACAAACCTATTAAAGTACTGAAACTGCGTTTTTTTTTTGTTTATTATGCATGTACTGTACCTTGGTGACTCGAAGTTGCCTCTCGTACTGTCCCTTCTCTCCTTCCAGCTCCTCCACTTTATTCTTGAGCTGCTTCACTTCTTGCAATAAATCCTGCAGGGAAAACATAAAAAGTAAACGCTTTGAGTTGAAAAATGTAAACCCAGAAGGGCCATTCGAATGAGTTCACCAACAAAATGATTGCAAGAGGGGAAAAACAGTCGCATTAGATGGGTAACACCGTTGTCAAACTGTGCCCATGCTAAAATGGGAGGGAATTCAAACAGCAGGTGAAGACTCATTGCAGTTGTGAAGGTCTCCTCAGCCAGAAACAGTAGTTAACGGAGGAACCATGATCTCCCGGAAAGAGCCAGCCGTACACGTGCAGTTATCAAAAAGAGGGGGAAGTTTGAATCCCAGAAGTGGTCACAGGTATGAAGACAAAGAGGCTGTACACCTTAAACACCAATGGCAATGTTTATTTTACAGGTCAACCATGCTAGTTCTAGATCGGACAAGCGCTTTCCCAGGAACACGGTTAGTACGAAGATCCTGTCATGCAAGCAATACACAAAAAAATGAAGGGATTGTGAAGCCACACATTTGTTTTAAGCTAAGAGACTGTGCTGTGACCTAAAACACAAATCCAAGTAAGTGATACTGTTTGGAGTTACTAAGGCAGTTTGCCATCACCTCAAAGAATGGAATGGAAGCATTCTGAAAACCACAAGTCTTCATTTCTGCAAGAACCAGAGCACATCTCGACCCAAACATCCAGAAATGAACACTGCAGACATGACAACAAACGTTGTTAGTTTGATTTTCTGGAAATGTTTTAATACCAGGTGAAGTGTGGTCTGGTTAAAGGGGGAGAGGCGAAGATGTCAGAAGATATTGGGGGGTGGGGGTGGGGGGGTGCAGCAGATTATAAAGCACAGCCATCCATGAAGTGTCCCTACATTTGCGGTCAGTCCATACAGGCTCAGGTTTGTGGCACTTAGCCTAAGCACAGGGCTGTGAGCGCGGGCCTGCTCGGCACCTGGCTCTCCGCGCTGGGCATCACCATCTTCCAGGGCGCGCTTCTCCTGAATGCGAGTGCTGATTTCCTCCTGAAACCTGCACATCTGCTCCTGGAGCTCACTGATGAGATTTACCACGCACTGGGAGGGAGCAGCCCATGAAGCGTGGCAGGCAAGTCAAGGGTGGTGGGAGAGCAGCAAATTGTTGAGATGAAGAAAAATACAGATGAAAGCAGTCAGTTGCAAGGTCATAAAAAACCTGAATCGTGGATTTTTTTTTTTTTTTTGGTTACCCGAGCAACACAGGGATATGCGGGTGACCTGCCTTGAGTCAATGAGTAAAACAAACTAAAAGACATAAAAACAACCACCGTGACAATGTATGATAACATTTGTAACAGGTTTAATCAATAAATGAACCCACCAAAGTTTCTTTGAAGCGAGAAAACTAAAATGATAAAGTATTTTTCCAATACAGCATTTTTTTTGTTTGTCTGTTTGATACGCTATACCAGTGGTTCTTAACCTTGTTCGAGGTACCAAACCCAACCAGTTCATATGGAGGATCAACCCCTAGTGAAAAATAAAAATATGATTCGAGAAGTGTTCCTTCGGTTTTGCTGGTGCGAGACTGGAGTTGCTCAACTTGGCATGCCAAATCATGCAGAGAGGACGCTGAGTCCCATCACGTTCCATGATGCATGTGAATCCATGTTCTACATATTCGTCCGACCACTTTCTTTTTTTGCTCGACGTAGCATGTGTTAAAACATTTTTTTTTTTTAAATCACAAGACGTTCTATCATGACAGTCACATGCTGACTACTGAGCGAACTAAAAGCACTGATTGGACAAGCAATGTAATGCGATCATCTGTAGCCAGTGACGGCCAAGCGGGTGTGTCATAACTAAATGACATTTTGAGTCTGCTGTGTCTTAACCTCCATGGCAGAGTCTCCGTCGAGCCCATGAGACTGATTCCCCGAACCCCTGGGGTTTGATTGGTTAAGAACCACTGTGCTAGACTGTGAGCGACAAATGTTTTAAGGGCAGGACCTGGAAAGCAAAGCTGAGAAATATTGATTAGAAACACTATTTTCCTGAGGAAGAAGTAATCAAGCTATGCACCTCTATGCAGAGTACAGGGTACATTCCACACACACACACACACACACACACACACACACACACACACACACACACACACACACACACACACACACACAAACGGCAAGAGTCCGCTAGTAAACAGTTTGTTACAGAACTTCCAAATAATGCTTTTTCAATAAGTCATGAAAGGATGCTTCAAGTGATGTGCTTAAATTCAGAAATACCTGGATGACTAGACGAGTCAAATACAGGGATATTACTGTCAAATAGAATTTACTGTGCAGGTGCCTTGCAAGACGGAGAGCGAAGCCACATCTCCAGTGCCTCTCTCTTCCTTTTTTTTCTTGACACTTTTTTCATCAAGCATGCTTGTTGAAATATGAAATGCATGCCACAATGCCTCCGTTTTTGCCTTGTTACATGCTTGTTGTTTTTGTGTTTTCTTCTGTGCACTTCCATCATGAACCTCTGTGCTGATCACATATGTATCCAGTTAACTCAGTTAAAGAATAGCAGCTGCCAGAGGCTACGTGAGGCCTTTGAGTCAATGTGACCAGTAGGTTCATAGTCTCATAGAACATGGATAGATTAACTCTAGGGAATCTGAGTTTGTGCAAAAAAACAAAATGCAGAGTCAAAGAATGCACTGCTCATTGCATTTCAGTCGCGACCAGTGTTAAATTGAATGTCCTTAGCCCTCGACTCACCCCACCCAAATGTGTACGCTGACCAGTACTTCCTCCAGCAGTGTGCACAGGCAAAGTGACACTTATGGTATAGATATAAATAGGTAGACACATTCAAGTTATGTTTAATAATACTGCACAACCCCCCCACATCATTCACCACTTCATTATTGGGTGACCAGTGTAGTCAGCAGTGCAAATTTGACATTTGCTGGCCAACGTATCCTCTGGCAATGGCTCTGGATCCCATGTGATGTCTTAACATTCACTCATGTCCACACTACAAGTGACGCTTTGTGGCAGAGTGGATGAGCAGCTGGTTATCACGATGAGTATAAACTCCACACAAGACTTGCAAAACAGCTAAACACTATTGGTTAAGGCATATGTTAGTCAGTGTTTGTGTGTGACACTCCACAGAAAATAAACTGGCACAATTACAGTACATCCAAAGCGGAGAAACTGATAAGTGGACAAAATGGAGCAACCCCACAACAAATTTGCGCCCATCTACCCAATCTCTGTAACGCTTTTGCCTTTTATTTTAAAATAATTATTTACTTTTTTTCTGTAGTGGTACATGCCTTTCGTGGAAACAGCGCATGGTCGTTTCTTGGCCAGTGCCTCAATACCCAGCCACTGCCCTGACCAAGTCCAGATGAAAAAAATGGGTGGGTTGTATCAGCAACAGTATCCGGCGGAAAAAAAACTCTGCCGAACAAATCATGAGAGTGACTCGCAGTGGTAACCCTGATGGGACAAGCTGAAAGTCGTAACAATTACCATATTTTCATATTTTAATTCAGAACTTCAGTTCAGACATAGCGTTTATTAATCAATGAAAGTGTGGCTCCATGTTTTAATTTTAACGAGCAGGACTTTTCAGGAGGGATATTCCATCAATTATATTTTGATAATGTCAATATCCACAAATTGACGGAGTTGTTAATCAATCATGTTTAGACTATTATTTTCTAAATGCACTGAATTTACAGTATCAGTCAACTGTAATGCAATTTTAAGTGTGCCTAGTTTCATCTGGATTAGAATCAATTCACTTGGTAAATTTATTTTCGCTTTTAATAGAGTGGTGGCCCTTTAAAAGTGCAGTTTAGGGTTTTAAAACAAAAACAACTTCTGTCATATCCATGTAATGTACATTAAAACTGTATGACCTGACCTGCATTATTGAAAAGGACCTTTTGAAAACGCATCCCTCTCTGGCACCACATGATACCCAAAATTAATTTTGATTATTATTTCAAAACTCAGGGCATGCCCGGTGGTCCAGTGGTGAGCACGTCGACCTCACAGTGCAGAGGTACTGGGTTCAATTCTAGCTCTCTGTGTGGAGTTTGCATGTTCTCCCTGGCCCTGTGTGGGTTTTCTCGGAGTACTTTGGTTTCCTCCCACATTCTAAAAACTTGCGTGGCAGGTTAATGAAACACTCTAAATTGTCCCTAGGTGTGAGTGTGAGCATGGATGGTTGTTCGTCTCTGTGTGCCCTGCGATTGGCTGGCAACCGGTTCAGGGTGTCCCCCGCCTACTGTCCAAAGACAGCAGGGGTAGGCTCCAGCAGCCACCGTGACCCTCGTGAGAATAAGCGAATCGGAAAATGGATGCATGGATTTCAAAACTTGTCACAAGACAACAGAACTGGCCTGTCAGAGACAGTTGACACAGAAAGTGTGACCGGATAGTGCGTCAGTCATTTTCTCATCTGCACGCACTCTCACTCTCACGCACACTCAGCCTGCAGGCTACCAAACTAAACAGCTTTATGCTGACAGAAAAAAAAAGAAAAAAAAAAAGGAACTGGACAGATCTCGAGTCAAATCGAGGGTCAACATGCAATATGTAGTGATGATTCTCAATGCAGACGCTTCCAGCTTTGAATTGATTGTAAATTCCCCCAAAATACAAGACCAAACAGGTAACATTTCGAGGTTGCCACCTTCCTTAATTGAATAAGCCATGCTATCAGCGTGTCAAGCGTTGGCTTGTATACAGTGGGTGATGTACATGCAGTGCATGTTGCGTGCACATTCGTGAGTGGCATGGCTTTGGTCATGAATGTGAGGGGCTTGGGGGTGGGGGGTTTGGTTTAGTGAAGTCACACGCCCTTCTTATTTTGCTAGCAGCTTGAAAATTGTGCTCCACCTTTAAGAGTGACCAGCGGGTTTCCTTTTGTAAAGGCAACAAAATGTCACAGCCATTCACTCCTATCTTTTGCTGCTGACCATTGTTTCAGACAATACAAAGGTATCCATGCATGCTCTTAGCGTTTCTGTGGCAGCTTTTTCCGAGTTTTCCATCATGCCCATCAGCTCGGACTTTATTACAAGTGTATCATTGAAATTTGACAAAGGTAATACGAGGTGCCTTGGGGTGTTCCGATCCGACTAATTCCAATTCAGATCACATGGATGAAGTGCATTTTTCAGCTTCAACTTTCAACTACATTATGTTACGTGTTAAACCTAAACATTCTCAAATAAAGAGCATTGCAAACTTTCGGTTAAATCCTGAGAAGTTAGTAGCTGACAGCAATGAGCATCATGTTTCATCACAAATTTCTTGTCGGGGATGCACATTAGGTTATTTTCAGTTACCTGTAGTCTGTATTTAAAAAAAAGAGAAAAAAAAAGCTTTTCCGTTTTAATGCTATCCTTGTCATGTTAGACCATAATTACATGTGAACAATTTGGAGTAAAAAAAAAAAAGAATTGTATTGATGAATAGGACCAAGCATTGCTGAAGAGTATTGCTGAAACACTGTAGAAGCTAGTTGACTGAGCTTGTTTCAGGGTGCCAACACTAAAGTATGTGTCCACAGACCTTTTATTGTTACCTTTGACTGTGATGACAGGGGCTTTGAATGGGGGAGCATGGCAGGGTGGGGACCATCTGCTCATTGCTTGTCTGTTCAGAATTTGGCTGACGCATTTGGCTTCCTGTAAATGTGTGTTTGGGACAACCATTCATCAGGCGAATGGAGGATGATGCAAATGAAGGCGAGGGGAGAACACTGTGCGAATGAGATGTGGGAGAATATGTGAGCGATTGGTAAAACCACACTTTTGGCGGGTTTCGGGAAGTGCATTTTGATAAAAAGGCTGAGTACATTTCATAGCAAATTATTCAGGATGGGAGTTCGCTGATATTTTTGAGAAAAATTCGCAACAGGGTTTCTCTGTCATCATACAACATTTGACATCAAGGAAACAAGAGTTAAGTGGAATTTGCGTCAAGCATTCTCATATATCACAGCCATGGGGAAGACGTCTGGTAAGCTGCAGAAAGTTTTTAGAAAGCACTACAGGATTCCCATTCACTCAGAGGTAGAAAAAAAAGGAATACAACAAAGGTGCATAGAAATAAAAAATTCAGAGCCTTAAGTTGGAACTCAAGCTATGAAGGATCTAAATGGTATGACTACAATTCATTGTCATAATCTTGTACAAATACCATGTACACCTCCATAGTATGACAATGTTATTATTTTTATTGCATTTACAACTACATGACGTGACACAATGTGATTTAAACACACACACACACACACACACACACACACACACACACACACACACAAAAACAAATCTGATGGATTTCCCTACCTCTGCTTTATTCTGGTTCGCATCCATGGGTTCTTGGAGATGTGTGTGGTGAGTTTCCTCAATGCTAACCAACTTCAGTTTCAGATATGAAACCTCATCCATCAGATCTAACTTCTGAGTTTCCAGAGACGTCCTGCTCACCAGCTCCTGAGAAAAACAAACAGATTGAATAAATTAGATGAGTATATACATTTTTTTTTTAAAAAGCAACCACAACAACAAGCTATAAACACAAACACTGGAGTACATGTCCAAATACAATATACCAGAGCAAAGAGTAGTAGGTGTATAGAACACTCCTTTGCTGAGTTCAGTGTTCTTCCCACGCTGACAGACGAGGCTAGACTGGGGACACAGACCCAATGAAGCTAAATATACACGCTCACACACAGGCCAGTCAAGGGCTCTATTAATAAAACCCAATGCCTCTGTGGTATGGCAAAGAAAAAAAAACTAAAGTGTGTAAACACAAAAATTGATGGTGGGCACCAAAAAGTATATGTACTGTTTGTCTTCTCTTCATAGTTGCGAACCACGAGTGTTGCTTTCATTTCCTCTCCCAAACTAATCCCAGTTCCTCTTTTTCATATTTAATATAAATGGCCAAAAATGATTTTTTTCAAGACGCTATTAACCAAAGTCTTGCACCAGGTGGTTGGGGAAAAAAAGCATTTTACACATAAATGAAAAATTCCGGCCACTGTTTTCTGAATAGTTTTACAGAGCTTTTGACTACTGCCTCAGCGTGCATCGGACATTGGGCTACTGAAAATTTTTAGCCAAAAATGACCCAAAAGTGCATTTTCAGCAATGCAAAATCCTGAACACAGTTGCGGTGACAGACCTCGGGGCACTGCCTTGGAGCTTTGGGTAAAATTAGATTGAAAGAGAAGCAGCCGAGGAGACTGGGGTTTTGTACCGTATTGGTTAGCCCAAACAGAGCACTCGCTTGTCCAGCTACGATGATGGGAATATCGAGGTGCCCTGCCATGGATCTCCGGGAAGGTGAAAACGAAGGAGAGAAGTTAGCGATACGTCACACTGTCCTGGCTACCAATGGCGCACCTCAGTCACGCATGCGCTGAAATCCCCGTGAACTGAGCAGAGGTGCGCAGTAAGCCTAAATTTGCTCCACCGTTTCAACCGGCCAGTGGCTAGAAGACTGCGTGTGCATTGCTCAGAATTGGAAGTTTTTGTGCTTAATAAACAAGACAACTTGAACTTTTATGCTCGCTTCAGTTAGCTGTTTATTTTTACCAAGACGCTCTTATTTGATGCGGTGAAATCACATTATCAAGGTCACCTGAGCTGGCGAGGCCAATTGTGGGTGAGACTTATATGACATCACGACAGAAGGAACAAGTCCCTGACGGGGGCCAATTGCCCAGGAGGAGGAGGGAAATTTACTGGTTACATCAGCTAACAATCACATCCATCCATCCATTTTCCACCGCTTATCCGGGGTCGGGTCGCGGGGGCAGCAGCTTTAGGAGGGAAGCCCAGACTTCCCTCTCCCCAGCCACTTCTTCGAGCTCTTCCTGGCGGATCCCGAGGCGTTCCCATGCCAGCTGGGTGACATAGTCTCTCCAGCGTGTCCTGGGTCGTCCTCGGGGTCTCCTGCCAGTGGGACATGCCAGGAACACCTCACCAGGGAGGCGTCCAGGAGGCATCCTAATTAGATGCCCGAGCCACCTCATCT